ATGTAAAATTCCCCATTACGTCTATGTTTACTTGCTATTATCATTATTTTCTTGCCTTCTCTCCACTCAAATGCGTTTTTACACGATCCCATAAACAATGTAAAATTCAAGCTTAGATCATTGAAAGATATTCATAAATTCTGTCTGTTAAGTATGGACTATGGAACAGAATTCTTGCGTTATTTTTTCATTTATCACAGCTCTCAATTATTACCATCAAAAATATCAAAAAAGATGAAAGGGAAAGAAACAGATTATTCAAAAAACTCACGAAAGATTTCAAAGTTTGAAGACACAAAGACATATGATTGGAAATTATATAATGATTTCAACCCAAAGATAGCTCTGTGAAGCTAGAAGTCCTCACAGAGCCCTTGTAATTAGTAACCCAAAGATAGCTCTGTGCCCTTGTTAAAATATATATATAAAATTGCAAAAAAAAACATATTTTAAAATGATTTTTATTATATAATGATTTCAAAATCTAGAATAACAACAACATATAGACGCTAGTTTTATAGTTTCCTTTATCCTTTTTCTTGTCTGTTGTTAGAGGCCCAGGTTCAGGACGCGAGAACCCGCATGGAAGAGGGTTATGCCTTTAATCATGTGGTAGTTTAAGTCTGCCTTTGGAGTTGCAACAAGTTGCCGCTAGCCAAGACTGGTTATTGGTGTGGTCCAGACTATACCAGGATGGTTGTTTTGAAACTACCATGTCGTGTGATGCCAGTCCTGACTAGGCAATCTTTGGTTTCATAGCAGCCATTCAACGTGTATGAGTAGGTTTCGACCTGGTCTACATAGTTAGAGGTATTAAAAGGCAGGCGTCGCAAGGGTCCATAGAGTTTAGGCTGTAAAAATTCAGGCAAATTCGATCTCGGAATGACGAGGAACCTAGCTATTTTGGAGTTTTATCAACAATTTTCTTGTGTAGGTGGGGATCCAATATTCAACCAGACTCAGAGGATTTCATGGTGGCGTTAGTGTGCATCGGATCTGCTCAGCAATATTATCCAATAGCTTTTTTTCCTTCTCTTTCCTTCTTTTTACCTTAGACCTCTGTTCAAGACCCGAGAGCATGTGCACAAGAAGTTCATCCTCCTCCTCTAGTGAAGTTTAGCAAAGAGTCGGTCGTCATTCCGTTTAATAGTGAAACAGAAAAAGATCTTTCCTCTGATTGTTTTTTTTTTAAGTTTTCATAGAAGTGGAACTCTATTTTTATTTGTTTCAATTATTGAGTATTTTTAAGATATCATAGGAATTAGTTAGATATTCTATGCTGGTGTTCTATTCATTTTTTTTCTTTTCAAAAAGAAAATATTCTACTCCTCCTTGACACATTAGTAAAATGGTTTTTGGTTTTTACTCAAAATGTTTTTTTATTGCATCATACCTTAAATCCTTCCTCTTTCACATTTCTGGCTATCACTCTGCGTTCCTAAGATCCTAGCCCCATCTTCATTTTTGGCGCCATGGTTCCATTTCTGATTCCCTTTCTGATTTCATTTCTGGTTCCATTTCCTGATTTCATTTCTGGTTCCATTTCTAATTCTTTTCTTTCCTTCTGCGACCAAGGTCCCCTTTGTCTCTTGTGCTTTTTATTTTCCTTGGTCTTGAGCTTTCGAAATTCCTTCCAGAAACTTCTCTCTTAGGATTCGGAGACGAATCCCCGAATCCTGTAAAATGGGGGAAGATTGTAACAACCTAACTTTCGGTTCGTCTATGTCGGTTGTTACTAGTTTCTAATCCCGGTTTAATTTTATTAAACCATTATTTTCTTATTTCTTTTTAATTAATCTTTCTCTAATTTCTTTTATTTTTTAAGAATTCCATTAAACCCAGCCCATTAAACTAAATCCTAGCTATAAACACATTCTCTAATATTTTTCTAATCTTTTTAGCAAAGACAAAACCCTAACCTCTCTCTTTTTCCTCTCATTTTCATCACCATCTTCTTCCTACCCGCCGACGAATTCTAAGACGATTTTCAGGCAAACCATAAAGAGACACGCGACGCACTATCTATCAAATTGAAGCCCCGAGTGTCAGCTTTCTAAGAAGACTAAGTTCATCTAAATCGGAGATCTATATCAGTAGATATCGTTGTTTTCGTGCCGGGTGTCAGATCTACCCAAAGAGAAGAAATAAATGCATCTTCTTTCAGAAAGGCATCTGTGAGTACTTCTAGTTTCACCCTCTCTTTCATATGCATGGTTATTTCTAATTAGTCTCTTCTTAAATCAAAGCTTTGATCTGATTGTTAGGGTTTCTAGAATTGATTAGGACATGAATCCATGTTACTTGATTGTTGATGATTGCTGGTTGCTGATGGAATGTTATACAAGAAATCTGAATATGGATATTGACTTATGGAACTCTAAAATATGGATTGTGTGATGCTAACCTGTTTAATGTTCTTTTGTTACAACTTGTTATCGACGAATGTGCATCTTAATAATGGAATGACTTTTAAATAAAAAGAATGAATTGATTGTTTGGGTGGATGATGTGTGGTTAGTAGAACTTTTTAGGTCTGTGGCTCCTGAATTTGGGAGTCAGTGTTGTTTTCTGGCTGGGTTGATGTCTGCGTGACCATACAGCAGCCACCGTTTGCAGTGGATATGGCAATCCACCAAGTGTTAAAATAGTCTGTCTGTGTGACCGCTGGTACAGCTTGTCTGAGTGACTGCTGGGACATTCTGTGTGACTGGGTGGAATGGACCTGACTAATGAGCCGGTGGTAGACTAGGTCATTAGTCGGGACTGTTCTAGTTTTACCTTTCCGGGGAGGCATGGCAGCCCGAGGGACTGCACACTAGAACTGGTTTTGACCAGAGCCTGCTGTTTGGTAGTTGCATGCTAGGGTTAACCTCGATTTGCTGAGTGATTGATTGCTAGAAACAACTTGAAATGCTTTATTATAATGTTTTATGTTGTTTGTGCTTGTTTTGGGATTATACTTTTTAAATATAATTCATATTAGTCTGATGGTGTTGTGGACCTCTTTAAGGTCCATCCTTACTGAGTAATCCTCATTATTCACCTCTCTTCTTCCCTTGTTTCCTCCAGGATTAGGTAGACCAGCTAAGTCTAATGTTATTGATTGTTACCTAGACGTTTTTGATTGTTACCTGGATGTTTTTGATTGTTACCTGTACGTTTTTGATTCTGGTAGATCTGAGACTCACCAATGGGATCCAACCAGGTGTCATACCGAATAAGTTTTGACTATCGACCTAACATGCCCAATTTTTCTCACCTCTTTAGGGAGCCCAGGATAGGATGTTACACACAGTGTCTTGGAAATCCCTGAGGGACTTGAGATTGGATTTTTGTAATTTTAATGGTGAATCTATTGCTAATATTCTCTCTGGCTGTCCAGTTCTCGAAACCTTGACACTGTGTTGGATTCGTGGTTAGTACTTGAGCTTCTTGATCTGAGTAAATCACCGAGTCTTAGAACATTAATAGTTTGAAACTGTATTTATGGGACACGAGGAAAGATCAAGATTGTAGCGGCGCATAATATTGTGCCGTTTGTGCGTCCATATACTTTAGTGGATGTCTCCTCTTTGTCCGAAGCTAACTTTGACATTTCCATAATTTATGACAGATATTTTTCCTTGAACGCTGTTTTTCTATAAATCATGGTGCTAAAGATGTTAGCAAAATTGCAAAACGCAGAGAGGCTTACTCTTGGGGGAATATTTCTTCAAGTTTGTTCACCATTTCTTCAATTCTCTATTTAAAGGGCTAAAACTCTTCTATTTTGCATTGAAAACAAAAACTTAATAAATTAGCATGTAACAAATACTTCTTGTTAAGTTTTCTTTTTTTTTTTTCTGCATGATAGAGATTATGATGTTTCATTAGGCTGGCCTTTTCGTCATTTTGCTAGATTCTATCTCTTGCCGAGCTTCGTGGAGTCTCTTTCCCAACGCTCATCCAAACTTTGATTGTTAAACCAGGCTTGTTCGATCTGTTATTCCTGGTATAGTAAGGTTACTGCAAAATTCACCTGGATTAAAGAAGCTAACAGCAAACGTAACGTGCAAGTGTGTCATAGAGGTAACTTTACTAAAATTAAACCTTTTTATATTTTCTTTTATATTGATAAGACTATGCAAACTTATAACTGAGTAGAAACATTTCAATAGACCATTTGTCTTCTCAATCTTTGTTGGGCTAATCTATACATAAGATTGATACTTGGTAAAATCACAGCTGTTTTGGGATAACTTTTGTTATATATGCTTTACAGGATATGCATTTGGGCAGATAATTAGAGTCACAAGACTTGATTCCAGATCAATGTTGGAGATCAAAATATGAGGTATTTCCTACCTTCGATGAGTTTTTTCGGATCGTGTGGTATTGGAAGGATGATTTGTGGAAAACATTGGCTCCTTTTATGAAAATGGTGCTGAGAAACGAAAACACTCTTGAGCGTTGGTTTTGTAGGGTTGAAATCTATCATCCATTTTGATGATGCAAAATTGTTTGAAGAGTTGCTTCATACGCCTCAAACACTTTCTAACAACAATAATGTCTCCATTGTGCTCAAACGCTATTAGTGTTTTATTTAGTCTTAATCTTATTCAACCACAATAAATCTCTCAGTTGGAGAATTAAAACTATTTGTATATGAAATTTTTTATTGAAATTTTATTGTTGACTATTAGGGTGTTCAGCAGTCTTTTAAAATTAGTTTTCTCGTTTTCTAACCATTGCAGCCTCGTCTTTCGCTCTACTTATTGATGTCTGTTTATTTGAAGTTTTAGAAATAAGATTGCTCATTAGAAAATAAATTGAAAGAATATTATACAGATGATATGATAAGTTTTAAAACAAAAATCTACCCATATCAATCTACATGTCAAAAATCAATGTTCATCGAATTGAGACTATTTTTTTGTAAGTTTTGAGAAAAGCATTGATTATCTGCTCTTTGGCGCTTCCTGTCACTAACGCAGCCATTGAAGACAGATCATAACTCTTCCTTTAGTAAAATAACTAAAGAATCAATCAATATTTGGAAAATGTAATTCGAACTTTTTTCTTTTCAACTCCAAAAAATGCCGACCACAAATGTCAATCAAGAATCAATAATCACGAATCAAGAATCAAGAATCCCATAGCTTGCCGCAAATTTCGAACTGTGGGAACCGCTATCTCCGTCGCTCTGTCCGCACCTTCTGACAATACTTTGTCCAAATACCCTGTTTCCGCTGTTATCTCCTGATAACGGACCTGCCACACCGAAAACATATATTAAACACAAACGAAATGCGCTTCTAACCATGGAAAATACTCGGTTTTTTCGTTTTAAGATATGATGAGATGAAATGGTACAAACTCAGAAGAAAGCTAATGTATTTAATTAAAAAATTTTGACTTTGCAGACCTGGACTGGACTCAGATGCTCGATCAAAGCATCCGCAAGGAGAGGCTTAAATGTACCCCAGCTCATATCTTTGCATTCCTCCATCACTTCCTGCAACACGATTAAGATTAATAGGCTATGTATATTATCACTTCTTGCCAACGGAGTAAATGAATGACATGTGGAAAAAGCATCGATGTGACCAAGATCTTTAGAGTTAAACCATGGATTCTTTCTCCATACCTCTTTTGTCTTGCCTGAAACAATCTGATATACGGAGAGGAGATTGTTGCATTCAGGTCTCTCGGCATTGTCAAATTCAAGGCTGTTGGAACAACAAGAAGCAGAGAATCTCAATACCAAAGCTAAAAAGATCGTATCAAGAAAAAGAAATACATCGTAAGGAAATTTTTAGTGACGTAATTAGCACTCACCCTGCAAATGAGTCTGTCTTGCACCGTTTTATCTTGTCCGCAATCAACTTCACAATTTTCAAAAAGATGATGGATGAGAAATGGATTTAATAACAGAAGAACTTCACATACAACCAACATGTCACAAAATTGCTACAGGAGTATGCTCATTATTAATCATGAGGCACACATAGTTTTATAAGATCTTAACCACATATAGCACTTGATGATTATGCTGAGGGTTGGATGGCATTGTAAATTGAAATTAAGAAAATTGCACGTCATAGCTTTCAAAGAAATGGTGACAGGTTTCTCATAATCGTGCTCAATGAGAAAATGAAATTATCAAAAGTATTACAAACAACGGTAAGTTCATTTTACTTACATCTTTTGAGTCAAGTAGATTGATCCGTGACTGATCAGAAGGTGCAGACTTGGACATCTACAAGATTACATGACAGTAAGACCTCAGCAACAGAGTACGAATCATCTGATGATAGCAAATAAACAAAGCTAAAACAATTGGATTGCTCTATAAGACTTTTCTGAAGTGGAGGGATGAACAAATTTATCCGGACCACATTTACGGAGGCAAGACTCAGAACTCAGGAGTGTGTAAATCCTTAGAACTTGAGCTAGAAACTAAAAGATACAGACTACCTAATAGTAAAAGTCTCTTCGGTGTTATAGAATAGAGAGTTTAAACTCAATATATTTCGACAGCATTTGTGAACGCTACTTGTCTTCTTTCAAAAGATTGATTTATTGAAACATTAACCCCAGTAGTGGCAAAACTGTTGAATGCAGAAAGAAATATAAATGACAAGGAAACATTTATCTTAGCGGCGGATGATGACATTCTACCTTGGAAAGACCATCGGTAAGAGACATAACTCGGGCTCCAACTGGTGGTATGAGTGGTTCTGGTATCTACAAACAGGATATATTTGAAAGAACAATTAACCATCTGTGATCAATCTACAAAGCCACACAATGTGAATAGACAAAGCATTTGGAAAGTCTCACCTTAAAGAGCGAACCACCACGTCTGGAAATGAAAATCGCCAATGTTATACAGGTGAAGGGATACAAATGAAGGGAGATTAAGCCATCAAGAAACATGAAAAGCAAAGATCATAAGCATTTGTTTGAACAGTATACTTAATGCACAAAGCACAGTGTTATACCCTCCGAGCTTCTTCCACTTCCTTCCACCATATAAATGATTAACACGCTGTGCCAGGTCGCGGGTAAGTTCTAGGTGCTGCTTCTGGTCCTCACCAACAGGGACATATTCCGCCTGCAGAGGCATATAAGAATCAGCAGAACGGCCATCTCACATGAAATAAGAAGGTTTGTACATGCACTTCTTTAACTAGACAAAGAAACAAACCCAAGTCAAAAAAGTTTAATATAAGTTTGTTAATTTATCAGTGTTCCTTCTTCATTACACTAATTTCAAATTACACTTGACTCTTCTTACCTGATACAAGAGGATATCAGATGCCATCAGAACTGGATAAGTAAACAAAGAGACAGCAGCATTTTCAGCCCCCTGCCAATAAAAAAGAAGACAAAGATGGGATCAGTAAACAGTAGCTATGCAAATATTTTCAGTTTTACGCAGCAGAAAAGACTAAGTTGAATATGCTGTTCGTAACATTCACTAGTACCACTAAGAAATCAACATCAAACCTCAAAAACGTTATGCCTTGCATATATTTTAAGCACGGAATGATGAAAGAAACAATGTTATACAACAAGAAACTAAAAGAAACATATACGCACCTCCTTGCGTGATTTCTCTTTGAATTGAGTCATTTTCTGTAGCCAACCAATAGGTGTGGATGAACTTAAAAGCCACATTAACTCCATATGAGCAGGGACGTGAGATTGCACAAACACCGAAGACTACATAAATCAGTTCTTTGATTAGTTAATGCAGAACACACTGTGAATCTACCTTCACATAAGAGCTAAATCGAAAGAAGAAAACAAACCTTAGAAATGTCTACACCACATGCTAGATAAAGCGCTGCAGTATCCCTAGTTGCCTTTCTTAGTTGTTGTGGGTCATATGGTTGTGTTGTCTACAAAAGAATCAAGATCAGATACACATAAAAGAAACACAGATAATATTTACACAAAACCTAAACTTTCGAAAATGGTCGATAATAATTACATACCGCGTGATCGTCTACGACGATAAAGAGTGTTTCATATGTATCCTGCAAACATATAAATTAAACACACAACGCCTGAAAAAAAGAAGAAATATACTGAATCCTTTTTTTCTTATTTAGATGAGTTTTTGTAAAATTTCTCATTCTTATAGACTGAATCAATGAACCTGAAGAGCGACCCAGTTTTTGATTGCGCCGAGATAGTTTCCAAGGTGAATTGATCCTGTGGGCTGGACTCCAGAGACCACACGTTCCCTGCAAATCAGAAGGATTAGACTTAAAAAGGGAGAGAAATAAAAGAGACTAACAATCAATTATACCTTACAGAAGGGGAAGATTCGTCGGTCGTAGCGGCGGCGGAGCAACAGCATCGGAAGCTTTTTCCGGTGAGCGGATTCCTGAGAAATGTAGTGGTAGAACGGAGACGAGAGAACCTAAAGAGCAAAAATGGAATCAACCATCGCGTAATTGGGGATGAAATGAGAGAAAGAGAGAGAAGAGTGAATGTAGTAGAAACCTGGAGGAAGAGGCGATGAGGGAGTGAGAGAGAGTCGTCGCGTGCGCCATTGTTGTAGCTTCTGTCTTCTCTCTTTCTCGGATTGGTTTATGGATTTTTCAGGGTTTTTGAATTTTTCGTCAACAAAAAAAAAAAGAAAAACAGATTTACTCACTTATCCTAATATTTTACAGTTATTAGATATTATATGATATAATGGTGAGATGTGTTTTGTATATGTTATATATATGTAAATATACATATGGAAGAGAGATAAAGAGTGAGCAAGAGAGAAGGGGAGAAGACATTAGAGAGAGAATTGCTCTCTTCTTATTATTACATCCTTATGTTTACAAGTGATGCACTTATTTATAGTGCAACTAAGACATTAGAGAGAGAATTGCTCTCTTCTTATTATTACATCCTTATGTTTATAAGTGATGCACTTATTTATAGTGCAACTAAGTCGGTGACTTAACCAACATAATACATAAATTATTAATGAAAAATGGATAATTATTATCCTTTACTAACACTCCCTCTTGATTATCCATTACTTCATTAACATATTATTTCGATTAAAAACTTTAGCATGAAAAAATCCATTAGAATAAAAACCATGATAAAAAAAATATAATAATGTAATCTTCTCTTGAAAAGATGAATCTTGTTCTTTTCATAGATCGTTAATTCGTTTTGATCTTGTCGATGTAATAAATCATATTTATTGGAATTATATATTCCTTTTTAGATACATATCTTCTTGCGTCTTCTTTGATGCTTCAGTAAAAACTTTATTATGGAAAAAACCCAATGGGATAAAAACCATGGTAAGGAAAAAAAAAATGCATCTACGCGCATTATCATACTTCTTCTGAAAGTATTCCCCTTTAGATATTTTATCATTTTGCGTCTTCTTTGCTGCCTCGTTAAAAACCTCGTCATGGAAAAACCTATTAAGATAAAAACCATGATAAGGGAAAAAGAGTGTAGCTACGCATATCATTACAATTCTCCCTCTGGAAGCATCATCTTCAGGAGATGCATTCCAATTATATATACCATCATTTTGGAGAATCTTTATAAGTAGAACCTTTATGAACAAACTCGTAAGATCGTCATTCTCGGATCTTTGGACTTCTGGTCCATAAATCGAGTTAGTCAAGCTCTTCCCATGACTAAACAAAATTTTTAGATGCTTCACGCATCCTTCATCCTTTTGAGATTTTTATCAATGCATTATTGAATGTAATTACATCCATGATCGGAGAACATCAATTTCTGGCCTTTGAGAAAAACTTTGTTCAAAAACCGGGCTTATATCATGTGATTTTGTTTTTCTTATCATTTTCGAACAAAGACCCGAACAAAGACCCATTTGGTCTTGAATGACATTACATCTTCAGGTGTAATGAACATTAGTCCAAAGACATTTTCTTTGCTGACTCTTCTGGAATCCTTTCATTGTGTTCTCTAACTTTCTTTCTCTTTAAGAGAATTTTAGATTCCATTAGCCTCCCCCCCCCCTTTTGTTTTAACTGAACCTTACGTTCATTTACTTTACTCCGATAAATTTTTATCTTCAGGAACATCAATATTTGTGGAGCGCTTCCAAATTTTATGAACTTTAAGTTCGAAATAATTTTGAAGGAGGATTAAATAGCATTTTCTTTAGAAATGCTTAAATCTGAGCTTTTCTATATTATGATCCTGCTAGGATCTTTTGAGATGAAATATTCAATTGGGATACCTGCAAAACAAAATGAACATAATTTTCCCTAAAATGCATCATAAAGATCACTTTCTTTGATCCATTTATGGGTCAATCTTAACTAAAAATAAAAACCCTATGTAATATATACTCATCAAGTAGAGTTCCCGGAAACATAATTATGATATCATTAATCCTTCAAGGATCCTTTCCTTCGCAATTCAAGTCGCTCATTCTCTGCCAAACTTGATATTACTTCTAACGTTTGGACTGCTAGTCCAAAAGTTTCTCATTTTTCATATGAGATTAACATCGACTTGATTGCCTTTTTCACTCTTTTGGCCAATAATTTTCTCTTTCTACACTCATCCACAGAGGTAGATTTATGATCCTCATTTATACCAAATCGTGCACTATCTTATTTTATGTCGACAATTATTTTGTCTTTGGTTCCTTTTTTTTCGTAATAACATGGTTAATCGAGATCTCTTTATCATTATCAATGATATTTTTCATGTACATGATTTTATCATTAACCATATTAAAAAGTCTCTTCAGGAGATTCATCCTCTTTTCAACATATATTTGCTTCTTTCCTTTTGAGGATTTTATATTTGGAACCAAGTAATCTATCACGTTTCTTATGTGCCATAGACTTTTTATTGATAAATTGTCCTTTAGGGACATATTCTTGGAGCATTTAAAGCTAGAATTGAGATTTTTTTTCATTGTATGTCTGACATTTACATATGAATTATCTTTTGAACTTCAGGTTCAAAAACCGTTTATTCGAGGATCCATAATGATAATTCATTTTATGAAATCTCATTCATTAGCTCTTTCATACCAAAACATGGAGAAATTCACCATTGTTGATCTTGCAATCTTCTGGATCGCTTTATAAATTATCCATAAAACTCATTTCAAGTGTGAACATAATCTTCTATATGTTCAACTACTTTTGATATGGGATTCTTTAATTCTCCCTCTCGAGATGATGATACTTCAAGTTCATCAATCTCGAAATGAATCCAACTTTAGGACCAAAACATATCCAAATAACTCATTTTTGAGCCTTGTATTATGTATCAAATCCTTTTGTGGGACTCTTTATACTTTCTTTGAGATGATGGCTTTTCATGCCCATTCATCTTGAACCGATTTTCGGTTTTAGATCTATTATATGATTTGGGGGACTTTTAAAGAAATCCAACCATTATATCTAATAATCGTTCAACCAAAAATGGTGATTTATCTCTCATGATGGTCCCAAGACATGCTATGTGTGAAAAACTTTGGGTATTTCCACATAAATTCTCAATACCATTATTACATCGGGATGGCTTAAACCGGTTATGTTATATACTAGTAAACTTCAGGTTTACTATCTTAAACAATTTTTGCCATCTTTATGCATGTCTCCATCATGTACTTTTCTTAAACGTTTTGCTCTGCTGGAGTGTTTCGTTCTTTTAGAACATCTAGCTTTTCTAGAGCGTTTTGCTCTTTTCGGAGCTTTCCACTATTTTTAAAATTTTATCTACAAGAGCGTTTAGTTCTTCAAGAACTTCTAATTTTTTATGAATTACTAGCTCTTCCAAGACTTCTAACTCTTCTGGAGTTTTTAATTCATGAAACTTCCACAGCTCCTAATTATTCTGGAGCTTTTTAACTCTTCTGGATCTTTTTAACTCACGAAGATTCCAGAACTTTAAGCTCTTCAGGAGCTTTTAGTTTCTCGAGTTCTTCAACTCTTTCGGAAGTTCTGATTTTTAAAGACATATTTTAATGTCTATAACCGTATTAATAAAAGAAATTAAATAGTTAAACATAAATAAATAACGAAACAAATGAAGATGAAAATAGTTAGCATATATGTTCATCGTCTTCCGGACGAAAGTTATTTAAGCAGTTCTTCAGGAACGCTTTCATATATCTTTTGGATATATAATTTTCATATAGTTCTTCTGGACATATTTTTCTTTCATTCGGTTTTTTAAGAACTTGTCTTAAATGTCTTTTAGACATTTTTTTTTATAAACGGTTTTTCTGAAACCTTTCATAAATGTCTTCAGAACATTTATTATATAGAGGCCGTGATCTGAGGAGACAACTACCATATGATCATAGGCCAACCATATATCTGATCTGAGGAGACATAGTCTACCATAACGATCGGTTCGGAGAAGGCAGCGCCTATCATCCCGACCATAGTATATAAACATAAACGGATCGAATATAATTTAAACCTTACCTTTTTGGTATAAAAACAGATCTTACGTTTTCGGTATTAGATCGGATCGAGAGACGTTTGTGCTGATAACGTATTAGATATATGATATAATGGTGAGATGTGTTTTGTATATGTTATATATATGTAGATATACATATGGAAGAGAGATAAAGAGTGAGCAAGAGAGAAGGGAGAAGACACGAGAGAGAGAATTGCTCTCTTCTTATTATTACATCCTTATGTTTACAAGTGATGCACTTATTTATAGTGCAACTAAGTCGGTGACTTAACTGACATAATACATAAATTATTAATGAAAAATGGATAATCATTATCCTTTTCTAACAACAGTTAATTTTTTCATTTTTTTTTTACTTTTTTGCTTTAAAAATAAAATTGTTCACTCTTCCCTGAGAGGCTGAGAGTGTTCCTCCGGCGGTTTTGTCACCGATTTCTCATAGAGTTTCCAAGTTTTTTCAGAAACATGTTTTAGTTCCTCTGATTTGGCTGATTTAAGATCATACATAAACTGTAAAGTGTTGGCTTGATCGATCCATTACCAACTCAGAATTTTAAGCTTATACAGTATGTTCTTAACCATGGAGAGTTTTATTATTATATATGACATTGGATCAAAGGAGCTATTGTCTTTTGTGTATAGTAGGAAGTATGTTGTTGTGGCTGGTTTAATACGTTCACCTAACTTATTAACTCAACTTTCGTAGGTTAATACGATATGTCCATCTCATATTACATTGGAAAAATAACTCAAGTAGTGTGCAAGCCAAATTGTTCAATTCTTTTTTTTTAGTTTTTTTTTTTAATTTACTAAATCATTCAAACCGAAAATCACATTGAATCGATCAATTGAAGTATTTAAAGGATAAGGAAACAAGAGCGTCAATGGAAATCATTTACAAGAATCAAGCTAATGTGTAATAAAATATGCTAATCTATTACATCATCAACCTCGAGTTCTTTGATAAAAAAAGTTCTTTAACAATTTTTTTTTTAATGTTTTTCATTTTTCTTTCATAAGACTGTCTCCAGAGAAAATGTATTTTTGCTGACTATTTTTCGTTTTGCATGTTTGGTTCCTTAAATTTTCTTTTTTTTTTTAATTTCGATAATAAAAATATAAACACAAGATAAAAGAAATTAAAACTCTAAGGAACATGGTTATTGAAGTTGTTAATCTCCAAAAAAACCTTTAATCTCCATTCACAAAGAGCCAAAGACACCACAAGAAAAGCTTTTTGTATTTTTTCACTTTAAAGTTAACTCTCCATATAAAACTAATATTCCAATTCCAAAATCATTGAGTGCAGCTCAGATCCAATCACATCCCACCAAAAATGTCCACCGTCAACATTCTCACCGGCCTCCTCCTCCTCCTCCTCCTCACTCTCTGCTCCGCTCAGTCTCCTCCGGCGCCGGAACCAGTCGCCGCCGACGGACCTTCTTCACCGGCGAACTGTTTAGTCAGTATGCTAAACGTATCGGACTGTCTCTCTTATGTTCAGGTGGGGAGTACTGAGACTAAGCCTGAATCTGCTTGTTGCCCGGAGCTTGCTGGAATGGCTGAAAGCTCGCCGGAATGCGTCTGTAATCTACTCGGTGGCGGTGCATCGCCGCGTTTTGGAGTCAAGCTTGATAAGCAGAGAGCTCAAGAACTTTCTTCAATATGCGGTGTGAAAGCTCCACCTCCTAGTTTGTGTTCAGGTGCATTTATTCATTCTGTACACCTACTTTTTCCATGTTATTTGGACCGTCCGATCTAGTTAAAACACTTAATCGAACGGCTTAAATCTTAATAAGCACAAGAGATGATGACTTCATTAATTGTCCTATTGATGTGGGTGACATAGTGACAGTCATTTTAGTATTTGGTTGAGCTCAACAAAAAAAATATATATATTTTGTCATCCGATCTATATTGTCAAATTATTAAAATTATTTTTAGAAAAAAAAACTATGAACGTATTTAAATTGATTAAGGAAAAATTGCAACATTTTAATTTTAAAACTAACTTTTATGCTTCTACTTTGTATATATAAGAAAAAAATAATAGTCATGTATAAAATTGACAAATCAAATTTTCTTAATTTTAGAGATATATCTCCATGAGTAGAGCGGAATTTTTTTTGTGTGAATATTTAGAACATTCATCGTATTGATATATTTACCTTTCTGTAAAAGAAAGAAGCTGTAAGGTATTGAATTGTAATTTATTGTTGTCTTTTTGGTTTATAGTTATGGGTTTTCCGACGATCTCTCCAACCGGAAGTGAAGATTCATCATCTGCAGGTCAGATTTATTATTTTCCATTTCTTATAGTCGTATATAAGAACGCCCCAAGATCTAGTCATACATCAAGATTTTAGTTTTCTTTGATTTCGGTTTCTATTACAACAAAACTCATAACCTAGTTTTAGAGTTCAAGATCAAGGATACAACATTTACATAGAATCAAGACATTTTTGTGTCTTCATTAAGTGTATGAGTCGATTAATCTCTCTTAGATTAACTGGTTATAGTTTCAGGTTCTGAAGGATCAGAAAAAGACAAGAAAAACGGAGGTATCACCACAAAAGATGCTGGAGTAGCTTTAAACTCCCTTATATTGGCCTTGTTCATGATTTGTTCTTTATTCTGAGCATTACAACATATATTTAGATCATAACTTTACCATCTTCTCGCTTACATTGCAATGAAATCTTCAGTTCGAAGCCAATCTCACACAACATCGAGTACACAATCGTTGTCATGCATCTTCTTGAATTACTACTTCCATTACTTATGTTACAAAGTTTGTTCTCATCCATCATCATCCTTCTCACTCTCCCCACTTCCTCCCACTTTCCATCAACAGCATATACATACGATAGTAACACATATGGTCCTACATCACTTGGTTGCAATCTCATGAGCCGCTTCGCCAAGATTTCTCCAATGTCAGGATTTTCGAGTGTCCAAATAACAGACTGAGACTCCTTTCTAACCTCTACCGAGTCTTTGGTCAAACCTACTAAGCCAAGGAGATTCACCAAGCAGCCATGGTGCTCTAATTTGGGTTCAACGTTATAGATTCGTGTTAATCGATCATATACCCACCAACCTTCAAGAACCATCCCAGCATTTGCACAAGCAGACAAAACACAAACCAAAGTAGCACCGTTCGGATCAACGTTTCCCTGCTTTTCCAAATCTACAAGCATCTCTACTACCTTTTCTCCATGTCCTTGCATGCCATATCCCATGATCATCGAGTTCCACGACACGATGCTTCTCTCTCTCATCCCATCAAAGACCTCTCTAGCCATATCCATTTCACCGCATTTAGCATACATTGTAAGCAGAGCGGTCGAGAGAAGCGTATCAGGTTTAATACCGTTGCTTGTTACATATGAATGGATCCTCTTCCCTGTATCGATCTTGCCTAAATTTGCACAAGCCGTCAAGACGCTCATAAGAGACGCTTTGTTCGGCTTCAAGCCATCTCCTTTATCCATCATTACCTCGAAAATTTCAAGACTTTCTATGTAATTCTTGTTCCTGACATAGAGAGCCAAGATTGTATTCCAAGAAACGACGTTTCTTCTCGGCATTCTATCGAAAAACTCACGTGCCAACGTAACATCTCCCACCGCCGCGTAACCATCGATCATGCAGTTCCAAGAAACCGCGTCTGGTGCAGGCATGCTCTCGAATATACACCGCGCTTTTTCCATATCCCGAGCTCTCGCGTATCCGGAAAGCATAGAGTTCCAGCTGAAAACATCTCTCTCAGGCATTTCATCGAACAACTCTCGCGCAACATTCACTTGACCATTCTTCACATACCCATCAATCATCAGATTGCAACTAACCAAATCCAACAAGTACCCACCATCGAACACCTTGTGTGCATCTCGTATCCGTCCACAAACAGAGTACATATGAATCAACGAGTTCCTCACAAACAAATCTAAATCAAACCCTAGCTTCGAAACCAAAGCATGAATCTTTTCCCCATCTTTCACATACCCAATCTCCGCACAAACCTTTGCCATCAACGGAAACGTGTAATGGTTCTGCAAAACGCATCTCGCCACCATTTTCTCGTAGTAAAACCTCAACGCGACCAAAGGTAGCTTCAAATCGAAGTAACACCTCAAAATAGTGTTGCCCAAAAACGCGTCGGGTTCATCGATGGAATCGAAAACTGAGACAGCTCGTGAAACCGAATCAAAACAAGTGCAGAGCTTTTTAATCACTCGTCCTGATACAAGAGAGTGTTGAAGGAGTCCAGAGACTACAATCTGGGCATAGACTTGATCGAATTCGTTCATAGATCTTAAAGATTCAAGCTTTTGTATCAACGGATGATGATGAATCTCAATAACGGATCGTCCTGTTTCGTCGAGGTGCGTTGTTGGAGGTCGAGGATCGTCTGGCCAGAGTCGTGGTGATGGTTTTGAGAGGTTTTTCCTGCATTCAATGAGTTTATCAAGAGAAATCGAGCTTCCTCTCCCTCTTGATCTTAATGGTCCAAGATTCATAGTGAACTGTCTGTTCCTCGGTGGTTTGGCGGCAAAACGACCATAAATAAGTTTAACTAAACTGTTCTGACTTCGCGATAACATAATGTAAAAGAGTCATTCTGGGCATTCGGGTCTTGGATGGTTCAAATCGGGTTCTCTGGAACCGTAATTCGGTTCGACTTGAAGTGAGATTATGGGTTTGGGTTGGTTCTGATTGTGTAAATGAGATCTAAAATAGATCCGAAATAATTCGGTTTCAGATTGGTTCGAACTATCCAAAATTATGCGAACTCTAAAACGATCTGAACTACTCAGCATATAAATCTTATTATAATTTAATTTTAAAAATTCTTATAACATAAACATCATATTTTTATTTTCAATAACTAAAATAATTAAGATTAAATATTGTATAAAAATAAATCATAAAAATACTAAATATCCATTACTATTATTCTAAATTGATTAATATCAATCATATATTATTTTAAAAATTTTTGTAACATAAACATCATATTTTTATTTTTAATAATTGAGACTAATATATTATATAAAAATAAATCATAAAATACTAAATATCCATTACTATTATTCTAAATCGATTAATATCAATCGTATATTAGATTATTTAAAATCGTATGTAGCTATTAAGTAATATTATAATAAACGACTACCAAATATAATTAGTAATAATAATAAATAATAGCTATATTGTAGAAAAAATATAATTAAAAGAAATATCAAAATAAATAATAAGATCCAACACGCAAGTTTTAAGTTATATAAATACTTATACAAAGAAATTAAGAGAACACGACTCCATTAAGTATTGTTATATATATATATATATATATCTGGTTCAAGAGTGCCTTTTTATACTTATTCCGACTTGTGTCTAAAATGTGCTCCACCTCTCTTGAATCCTGGAAGTTTAAGAGTCATATACATATTGCAAGGTTGTTGTATGTACAACATTATCCAATTATAATTTTCAGATTACTTACTTTCTCTTAAAAATCAGGGCATCATCAGTGGTAAGATCAAGGAGAAGACGGAAAAAACCAATTGCTTCATGTGAATGGATAGTCATTTCATCTGCATGTATAAAATTATTAATAGGAAATATACATGCAATATAAAACACATATGGGACAAAATAAAAATAATAATGACATATGCTTGATTATCCATACCTTCTTTTTTATTTACACTCCAATCAGTTAAGACAGAAACCCAAAAAGGACCAGTGAATCCTTTGGTTCTTACTTTGATATCAGCGGCAAAATCCCCGTATGCGATACATTTCAACTTCACATCCCTTTGATTTAAACAATTTAAGTTACAAACTTTGTTACCAAGACATAGTGATCGTGAGAGAAAATATAACTTACTCGAGATCTGTGATGGTGAAAGTTATTTTTTGAACAATATCTCCATCAGGGTTATTCTCTGTTTTAATGTCGCTAACATTTTCCATCACACCAATGAGATCTACAAATCAATTATAAGAGAAAATTTTATCATGAATGAACTTCATTTTTGTCTTCTATATATATACAAATTTATAGATGAAAACACTAAAATGAATATTAGAAGTTAATCTTATCAACATGATACAACTGAGCGTAAGGAACTCTATATATCTCACTAAAAGGGACAAACTTCATGAAGGGATCCATTGTCAATGGTCGTAGACTTGAGACTTCTGTCTTAGTAGTGAGAACGATCTGATAATTATGTCTCGTTGTCCTTCCCTCATTCTTCCATTCAGATGGTATCAAGCCGAATTTAGACAATTCAAGCCACTGTCATTCATTCCCAACAAGGTAAAAATATGGAAAGGTGAGGTTACCACATGAAGCATTAATTCTACAACCCTATATACAATGAATTTTCAAAAGAGATCAAACAAACCATAAATATAGATAAAACAGTTATATATTCATATTAGATAATACTTACATTTTCGTCGACTAAAATGAAATTCAGTCCTGGTAAGCCTTGTCGATCAGGTTTATTCCATCTTTTCAAAACTTTGACACGGATTGTCCAATCTCGTCTCCATGCATGTAACTCATCAACAAAGTTATATGTAGGCTTGGGATAATGTTTTAAAAAAATCAAAGAAACAGTTGGGGAGAAGGATTGCTTTGTTGTTTGTTTTTAACGATGGATATGAGGATATATATAACACCCAAATAACAGTTATGGAAAGTGTCCCGTGAATCAGTGCCTTTTACGTATTTTTGTAAACTAAAAATGCTCCATTTTTAAAAAGTTGCAACTTATGATGAATATTCTAGATAGATTATTGGTTATTATGGTTTATCTATATTAGTAAAGGAAGAGTCGAATTTTTGTTATAACACGAAATTTTTTGTCCCATATGATGTATAAAAATATTAGGCTCAGATGATATATAATTGGAGTGTAACATAATAAACCGTTTACATCAAACAGATCTAGAATCAAATCAGTTATATATGTTATTGACGTGCTTTCTAATCATCCAACATGTGCTATTTTTTGACAGTACATTATTCCATATTTTTTGACAGTATATAATATTTATCGTATGCTATATTGATCTAACATTCTTATTAATAACAATTAGTTTTTATGACCGTTAAACTTTTAAGAGTGTAATTAACAGATGTCTTAATGATACACTCGTTCGTGATCATCTATAAAATAAAGAAACGGTAACATTTTCCATTAAACAGAAAAGTTTTTTTCTAGCATTTGTGAGTATGTTCGTTGAAATATAAATGATATTTGTTGAAGATCACCAGGCATAAACATAAATGATATCTGCGAATTCACTGCTAGAGTAAACGGTAACATTTTCCATTAACATATTCATTCACATCATTCAGTGAAATATCCAACATTCCATCTACACACTCTAAGATTGGTATGTCTCGAATCCGATTAATTGTGTTTTTTTGTTTTTTTTTTAGTTATAATCATGTGTTAATTTTTTAATTTTGTAGTTAACTTGATCGGATGAATTGTCAAAGTTCGTAAATTGAGCGAGCATGCAGGGACGAAATATGGAAGATGCGGTGTTGATTCAAAGAAATGCATCAAGTTCACTCTAAGAAGCTTTGAGTAAGTAAACATGTTAATTTTGTATTTTTTTATAGATACACAAACCTCTTAATAGGGAATAATAATTAAAGTTTTAAAATGATCATTTGTTTATGATTATAGATGTGTCGATATCAAATGTGTGGCATTTGGAAAAAATGCTATTGATTTCGAAGCACTTTGGCTAAATATTCCTAGAGGGAAAGTAGTATTCTGTGTTTTGAGGCTTTGAGAAGTGGCACCTTACGGAGGTAGTGTTTTACAATATGGTAAATGAAAATGTTACAATATAGTATTATTTTCTAACAAAATACGTTAAATTTGATACAGATAGGATACGCGTTTACTCTAGCAGTGAATTCGCAGATATCAAGTTTGATCCTCCCATACCCGAAGTCGAAAATGCCTGTTTCATTAAGTAAAACTATTATCAATAAGTTTCTATGTTTTATTCGATATTTGATAACAAAATTATCATGATTGAAACGAATAACGTTATCCTCTTGAATCAGGTTAGATTACACAGATGACTTCAACAATATAGAGGATGAGTGGATGGCACATGCCATTCTATGAGAATCGTCGGTTAGGATGAACTATATTCTATTATCGAATTATATTGCAAACTCTATTAAACTATAATATTATTTGTATGACACATTAATATTTTAATATGTATTGAATATTTCATTTTACTGCGAAATCGTTTTTGACATATGAATACATTTTTTTTGATATACTTATTAAGACATTAGTTGTGGTTTTCATAAACTTATATACTTTATCATTGAAAAACTGACAATCTTTCGTAAAATATCCTCTCACGATAGAACATAATTATCTTCCAGTAGTAAATTTCTCAGAATAATATATATTATATCTATAAGCAGTAATTTGAACCCAAATTAAAGTAAAGCTTAGGCAGTAATTTAAACCCAAATTAGAATAAATTATTATTAATAATAATTGCAAAACAGACTTGTAAATACCAAAAAAATGTCTAACAAAACTAATAATGCATATGGATTATCAATTTTGAATCCTTATACTCGGCCCAATCCATTGGACATCATTTGTATCCAGTCCATCTAATCTCTCCTTAATTCTGAAATTTCAATAACAAAATCATGTATATCTAAATTTATGAAAATATAGTTTTTTTTTTCATAAGTCAATTTAGACAACACATAGAAACATACTTACCTATTGCGCAAGGTTAAAACTTCAGCAATAGGTGAATCAATGATAAAACGGAACACACCATCATCATCATGATCCTTGATAGACATATTCTCTAAAATATATATATTGGAATATTGTTACGTTATATACTACGATTTTATAAATAACATATTAATATATCATCAGAAAACATACCCCCGTCAATTGCTACACACCGATCGGTTAACACGCATATAGCAAAGGGACCTTCGTATTCTCTACACTTATCTCTTATTTCAGTTGCTAAGTCACCGTGTACAACACACTCAAGCATAAACTCCATATATTTTGACAAAGAATATAGTTAAGAATTAGTTAGTTAAACGTCAAACATATAGTTTGAGATATACTTACTCCTCATATATTATCTTAAATCGAATTGATGATGAAGTCGTTCCATCCGGGTATGTTATAGTAAAGTATCTAGCATCTTTGACGACTCCAATCAAATCTGCGATTGTAATTAGTCAAAATAAAGACATGAATTCGAACTATAAATTTTGCATTATACGAACATACCAAAATATTCTTACCAATTAGATAATAATGAGCATCTGAGAATTCATAAATCGAGAAGAATGATACAAAATTATAGAACGAATTATTTGTTAATGGTAAAGCTGGTGAAATCGTTGTTCCCTTTGTCAGTGTAATAATGTAATCATGTTTTGCAATACTCTGGATATAGTCCAGCTGTAAGGATTCAA